TAAGGCATCCAATACTCTTAAAGATAGTACCCTAATTAGTAGAATGACAGGACCTATGATTATGGCTGGCTGCAGGATAACCTTGCTAATGACAGTGATAATGTTAATGGCAAGATACAGATAACTGATGGAAGCTATCAGCTAGACTCTGCGATGGTTCTACCTCCTTTTGGTGAAGATCACCTTATCAGATGAGCTGGTGCTGGATATTTCACCTGCCTCTGCAAGTGAAGAAGAGGAGCCTCTGCAATAAAGGCATTACTCTGAAAGCTCCAGCTACACTACACTGAAGCTGAAATGGCAGAGGAAAGCAGCAGCTCCTCTAAGTGTGTTTCTTAAGAGATGCATCTGTGATTAATGTGGTATGGGGATTTTTTTATCAGCACCAATCTGCAAAAGACAGGACTTGATGAGGTCTTCCCAGGTCTTTCAATTGCATGCAATTCTGCAACTTAAATTGAGATATTTTTCTTCATCAGAAAAATAGATCAAGCATTTAGGGGCAGGTACCTCCACACGGCAGGAAGAATCCCCCACACCTGAGCTGGAGCGTGGAACCCAGCATCCCTCAGCACCCACAATCACAGGAACTGTCAGGGCATTTTACTGACATCCTGAATGGCAATTCCAAAGACAGTTTGCTGTGGAGCTGATGAAACACAGCAGCGCGGTGCCCTAGCTCAACAGGGCAATTTAAAGGAGCTGAAATGGCACTGGGTGTGCTCCTGCCCTGTATTCCATGTGCCTCTAAGGAAATAGGGGAACAAATGCTCTTAGTCCTGACTAATAATGTCAATGCATGCTTGGACTGCTACTTGAAGATGAACATCCCTCTTTCTGATATGGAGGAAGGGCCATGAAATGGGACAGGTACGTGGACTGGTTAGTAATATGCTTTGGCATCCATTAAGGTAAATCTGTGGTGTGACTAATGGCCTGCTGAATCAAACTGGAATGACCTCAATAGACTGAAAAAAGAAAGTAAAAAAGACGGTAGGGATTCTATCTGCCAGTGGACCATTTGATAAGAGATTTAAAAATGTGCAGATATATACACATATACCCGACCAAGAAAATACTACATTTATTTATTTTTTGGTTATGAACCTGGTAACAGTTGTCTATGCTTTATGGACTGTAATTTCATTTCCTGACTCAGGAAAAGATGTCTGTAACTTAGGCTAGGGGTTTTGTTGGTTTTGTTGTTGTTGCTGTCTTGATTTGTTTAAATGGCTATATTGTTAAAGAAACTCTGTACCTCTCCCTGTGTAGTAGTCACAATGGATAGCACTTAGGGACGACGTCTCAGTCATGTATTTTCTGCCATCACACTACAGGGTTAATTGTTGAGATCAAAGCTATCTTCTCGTGGTTTTGCCCCACCTGAATGATCCACAGCAGCTGTGTGCCTCATTTAGCTGGCAGGTTAAACTGACCTTTAAGGGTAATGGAGCAAGATAGCTGAAAGGTTCTTGTTTATCTGACCCAATACATGTTGTTTCAAGGGTTGTGTAAATACTGAGATGCATCAGCTATTCCAGATAGATTTATATGCAAACTGCCTGCTTGCTGAAGCACTGAAAGAGTTGTAGCTACAAGAGATTAAAAAATAATCTCTGTCAGGTCAATTAGATAGAAAAAATAAGACTTAGAGGGCCACATGAGGCTTTTTTTAAAAGCTCAGTTAAAGAACTAACATACAGATCTTGGTGTTGACTACAGGTCACCCACAACCCCCATATTTCCAGTCAGTAAAAGAGAGTTTATACTGAACTTCAGATTTACTTACATGAACACAGACTGGAAGGAAGACCGTACACTGGATCTGAAAGTGTCTCACAAAAGAGAAAAGAAAATGGCACAAAGTGTCACGAAATGGCTTAGAAAGATAACCTCCACCAAGGAGGTACTCAGGCACGTAACAGAGGCAAAGAATCTGGCCAGCCTTTCTTCTGCACAGGCTCTTTTCAGTCTGTTTACTGAAAAAGTCCCACAGAACTCTTCCTTTCCACATGTCCTTAAAAGTATGGATTCAAATATTCAACATAGGAAAGCTCTTATCTTTTATTCTGTGAGATGAATGTGTTTAAAAAGTGAACAAAACACATTTCAACGTACACTGTTAACAGTTTCACTATTGTACAACACATCTGCACATAGTTTTCAAGTGAGCATCACTTAGCTGTGTAAGACACCTGTACTCATGACATAGGAACATGGGCAATTTCCACATATTCTGCTTTGACAAGACAGGGCCAAGTACTTCAGTAGGATCAGTTCATTTTTTGTCACTTCCTAGAACTCAGAATATGCTTTTTCAAATAATACTGTTTAAAAAAAATCTAGATGTTTAAAAAAAAAAAAAAAGTAAGTACATGCAAAGAAAAGTGCTCCTGCCCTGAAGAGCATCCAGCATCACACACACAACTGATGTCAACCAATACACACCAAAAGGAAAACAAATCCTGTGCATATAAGAATTTGACCAATTGTCCAATTAAAACATTCTTTCCAGAATCAAAGCACATGAAGACTCAAGAAAATGTGAGAAGAATAGAACAAAATAAAAATCCAATCTCAACAAAAAAACTTTTTTCTAGAGGTAGTCATTTATCAAGTTAAAAACATCTTTCAGCATTTGTCAACTATCTTTACTCCTTTTATTTTAAATATAAACATGATTAATTTTTATTGCAAACACATATTAACTTTTACTATCATACATCATCACTAAGACTCAGCTTTTTAGTGCAGAGTTACTCTTATATATAGCAGATATGCCTAAGGCTAGCTAAGTGATTTTTCTAACACTGCTCAATTGGTAGATGTTGATTGTGTAAACATATAACTGATATGCTTTAATATTAAGAAAGAAGAAGAAGGTGCAAAATCTCACTTGCAGCATTTTAACAGTAAATTAACAAAATCTGACTTCCCCATCAGGTGTAAGATGGAGCATTCTTGGTAAAGTTACAAAATAATGATGCACACTGGAAGAGGGTCTGGATGCAAGATGCAAGTAATTAGGTAGGGATAAACCCACCTTTCCATTCTATGCTTCGTCTGAGCATCAACATCCTCTGTTTTCTTACCAATAAAAAATTATCACCTTTATCAAGCTCCTGAAAGTACGCTGCATTACAGTAAGAGCAAAGCAGAATGTGAGACACTGAAAGATGCCATGTTCCAGTGGCACAGAAACTAGTCACCAAGAGTCTTTTCCTTGAGGACCTTGAGATCTGCCTATTCAGCTGTTGCACCAAGGCCACCTGTTCAATTCTTTTCTTCCCAAACCAGCCCTATATAATACTGGGATTATTCTGAATTGATTTCTTGGAATTTAGGTCGCTGCATTTATATTAAAGACAATACTTATTAAACAGTAGTATCAATTCACATACAAACAATTTACTCTATTTCCAGATCGCCAACTGATATATAGATGTATTTTTAAAAAAAATGTAGTATGTACAATTTCTATGTATGTGTGTGCGTGCGAGTATGTGCACAGATAAACATTTATTACTCTGGCCACAAACATCTCAGTTATATGGATCATTAATCATAACACTGAAATGCTGTAGTTTCCCTTACAGATTTTATTCAAAACTAAATTATTTATTGTGTCATCTACAACCAAAACTTATTGTTACATGCATGTATTACAGCTTCCAAGTTTCTCCCCTGAATTACGAGCCTTCTTTGTATTATCTGTGTATTCACAATAAAATTGCTGTCTTCTATGTGGGTGGCAATGACTGATGTAAAAGGACTGCTTTCAGTCTATGATGAATAATCATCCAAGTCCTTAAACAGATGCGAAAGTTAAAAGATCAGCATGCAGATAATATTGTCACCAAGCTATTTCTTAATACTACCAAAGAGATTTACTGGGTCACTTACTCCTTTGTGGCATTTCAATAAAATAGGTCCTCTACTAGTACTGCATCTTAAACATAAAATACCAACAAGATAGTTACACACGTAAACACATTTGAAAAGTTGTGCCTGTGTAACCCTTCGCACAGGAGTGTTCCATACTAGAGCAACGAAGATTCGGACCCTCACATCCAAACCCTAGCTCAAGCTGCACAGCAGCATTTGGTAGATGAATCGGTTATAAGAACATTCATATCACATGGCACCAACATGATTTCTAGCCACAATCTAAACCACATAGTTGGAAGGATCACATTTTGTACAGGCAGTGATGAGCAGCCTCACCTACTCCTTGGCCCACAGTCTTAAGAAAACAGCTTTACAGGCACTAACTCCAGCGGGAAGATCTGTATGCAACAGAGTTGAAGGAGGCAAACCCCTGCTTTTTAAAACATGCAGTTCACTGTTAAAACAGTATAACCACCTAAAGCAAATATCATAACTACAAATATAAGCTGTAAATTTATTCTTCCTAGATATATATGCTGCACATGTAGCTTTGCTAACTTAAAACCAAATTCTTACCTGTACACAAAACCATTGCCTAGTACAGAGACACCCTCCCCTACATGAAGAACAGAAACTACTGCAATAATGTGTCCCATACAAAATGTTGCTCAACTCCAAATAAAAGAAAGCTTATTATTTCCTTTGGAGGAGAACTCTCACCAATACAATACCGCATACAGCTGACAGCTGCACTACACTTAACTAAAGAAAACAAACTTACCTAAAGCACCTTCCCTACAATACCTGTTGGAAATACCTTAATCAGAGCTCCCACGGTTAACTACGAACAGCCACATAATTCAAATAGTAAATAGGTAGGGGCTTCAAAGTGACTTCAAATTTTTACAGTGACAAATAGTTTTATATTGTTAACAAGAAGGCTAAAGGATGCAAGCTTGCTAAGTCGTTTTGACCAAGTCACAAACTGAACACCACAGAGAGTCCATTTTCTCATGTGTTCCATTTAAAATCATCATGTTTATCTAACCATAAAATTTATTTTATTTTGAGGAACAGGAAGAATTCTTTAGATACACAACTTTAGTACTTACGGGTAAAATGATTCGAAGTTGATGGATTGACACTATCACCACTGTCAGCACTTTCACTGCTAGAAATGTCATCATCTGATTCCCGCACAGAGGAACAAGGTGAGGAGCCATCAACTTCTTCAAACTTCCTCTTTAAAATTCCACTCATCGCTGCAATGCTGTCACATGCACCTGTAACAGGAACAGAAGCAATGAGGCACTGAAACATCCAACTGCAGAGTATGCAGTCATAACCTCCAAAGTAATTTTTACTTAGACGTACCACTAAGTTGTCACTTCGAGTCTTGAATAACCATTTCGTATGAAATTAGATACAGTTAATTAGAAGACAGTGAAACCATAGGAAAGAAAAAAAACCATCACAAGTCATACTCGACATGTAAGGAGATGGTTATTTTGCTAGAACAATGTGTAACAGATTGCTTTTACGGAGTATTTTCCCCATTTTGATGTCAAGAGCATCCCTGATTTCTAGGTTATATTGTGAAATTTCAAACAAGGGAAAAATGGGAGTTTCTCTTCAAACACCCTCACCTGGTCTCCCCCTTGGCTGCCACAGGTGGAAGGAATATTCACAGTCAGGGATGAAATTAACCAAGAAGAAATCGTCTGGAACACTACAGTTCCCATTGCCAAATATATGTGACCTAATCAGTGTTCACATCACCCCTGTAAGAAATCCATCTGAGAAATTCCAACATTATGGACAGATAAAAGACAATGAAGTCACAAAGACCATATACCAATTTAGTGCTCAATAAATGCCTGGAATTCAGAAATTCCCCACTCCAGTCAGAGACACCAATTGCCTCCCAAAGTCCACATTAAGAAATGAGATGCCTAATACATTCCTGAGGTTGAGTAGAAGTTTATAAAGCAAATTGGACATAATTAAGGAGAAAGTGTACCCTTAACTAACTGAGGCAAGATCAAGAACAGCTGGAGCCTGCTGAGAGGACACGCAGCTGCCACCACGCCACCCACAGCACTGCAGAGGCAAGCCCTGCTGATACTTATCCAGGCAAAAAGTTTGCCTAGGACTGATGACATGCTAGACTTGCTGAGGAGGACACACAACCTAGCACGACGGGCTTACTACAGGGTTCTGCCAAATCCCACTGAAAGCAAGAAAAAAAAAAAAGAAATTTACATTCCTCACTGAAACAGAACTTCTTAAATCCCCACAGCTACCTTTAGGACTCATTAATTCCGAGCCAGCTGCACTCTGCTCCATCCAGGAAATTGGACTAGATAACCTCCAGAGCCCACTTCCAACCAAGATTTCTACAGTTATATGTTTAAAAAAAACAATAAATCTGTCAGGAAGCTAGCATATGCTGGGCTAAATGACTACGAGTAAAGAAGACAAGGTTAAGGCAGAGACTCCAGTACTGGCCATACTGTTTAACAATTAGCACATTTCAGAGTTTTGGCCCAGGCCATCTTGTGCTCTCCTGCATATCGCAGGATGAAGCAGGTGCCAGAACCATTCCCAGCAGGCAGGCTGGATGAGGGCACCCGGGTTTTGGCAGAGGGCTGACAGCTTACCCACTGGGGACAAGAACCACACCCTGCCACTTGGCAGCAGAAGCCAGAGAACACTTCCTTAGCCTGCATCTGTTTTTATCTTTTTAATTAATATAGAGATAGTCTCAGTGATGTAGCTGTTATGTTCTGACCCTGTAAGCACAGCACTTCAGTAGATCCTCTGGTTCTTTGCTCACACTTGGTCTAATACCAAGTAGTTTCAATGTCTCCTATGCATCTTATCACTCCATTCAAGCCCCAACACCAGTTTTCTTCCTGGAAAAAACAAAGCGACAGCATGGAGAGGTTTGCAACCGCCTTTTGTCCTGATATGAAGCTAGAGCAGGATAAGGGTGGGTGTAAGAAGCCAAGAGCTACAAAAAAAAAATTTTTTTTAAAATTGATGGGCTCACCAGGTTACAGAGTCTGTAGGACTAATTCAAAATCATAATTCAGCAAACACTGAAGTCTGTCTATAGGAAATCCAGGGACTGAGGTGGCAAGAATATCATGGTTTCATCCCAGTGCAACAGAAAGTTAGTTCTAATTATTTGTTCTGCTTTGCTGACGAAGCATTTTACATTGTCTGCCAGCTCCTAAGCACACCAGGAAGGCGTTATGGGCAGGTTTAAACTTGCCTGTGTAAGTCAAAGCTAGAAACTGTGGAGGCATTATACAACATTTTCATGATACTATTTAATTACAAGGACTAGAACAGAAGTTTTATAATAAGGGAGTTCATTCCCCTATTATGAAGCAAAAGCTCCGAGAAGCACATACATGATTGCACCAAGTTTAATATCTTGTCTCCAGCAGTAGTCAGTATTTAACGCTTCAGTGGAAAGCAATGGGATGAGAAATCCAGCCACAACCACTGCAGATACAAGCCTCTGCTTCCTCATCCTTGCAGTCAATTTCCCCTAAGCATAAGGCTGAAATCTTGCTATACAACATACACAGCCTCTTATAAATTCGACTTGCTCTCCTGAGACAAGAAGTTTCGTATTAGTTTATTGGGGGGAAAAACCCACAACAAAACACATCTCCTGAAACTGTAGCCACGGACCCTTCAAAATCACAGCAGTTTCCATCTTTATGGTATTTTGGACAGTAAGCAGCAGCAGAAACACGCCAGTGTCTAGCAGCATGCTGTACGAGATAGAACTCCACACATACAGGTACTCCCCAAAAAGTGGAAATGGCTGAAGAGAGGTCACCGAGGTCGTCTTGCTGTTTTATAGTGATATTTCCATTTCAGTCACCAATAGCGATGATATTACAAGGGAGGTGCAATGCATCTGCTGATCCTGTACAGAATTAGGAAACGCCTTTATACTTGGGGGGGTGTGAAGGGAGGAAATGGCAGTGGAGAGGCAAATGGAACTGCAGCATGGAGTTACTCATCCCAAAGCTGAGGAGTCTGGCCGACTGCTGCAGTTGCTGGAGAGCACCCGGCGCGTTAGTGCCTATGCTCTCAATCTCACAGCTGTGCAGCCCTCAACAGCCTGCCTCTGGGGAACTCCCCAAGGCAGCACAGCCTCTTGCTGACACTATTCCAGTTTTAATGTGGTAACTAAAGTGTTCATCAGCCAGAACAAGGAAGAGAAAGTGAGCAAAAATCTGTGCGGGTCTGAAAACACTTGTGCACTCAGTTACTATTCAAAGAGATTCTTCCCAATTCTGAGTTAATGATTCCCCGAACAGGACACGGATTCCCATCAGAAGGTATCCAACTCTTGAGAGTAACATACAGGGCGCACTGGTCCCTGACACAGCAGTCTTGAGTCTGCTCTGGGAACTGCTGCCAGATTCCCTAGGGCCAGAAAACAAAAGCGGCGGGAGTGATGCGCAACCCCGACAGGTACACCTTGCCACCCCCCAATTACACCTGCTCAGCCTACCCCCTGCAAGGGCACAGGGGCATACAAATGGTTGATTACTGCCTGTCCACTGAGAAATAGCTCCTTTCCTTTGAGAAACCAGTAACTTTTAAATGGCTCCAATGCCCTTGTCTTTGACCAGTCCTCAGATCAAAACCCCCTTCCTCTGCCCATCTGTCACCAAACTGTCTTCTTCAAAGGCATGTGAGCTTTTTCAGGGTCTCACTTTGAAGCTCCCCTAGCATAAAGGCTGCTTCTGCGCATACCCAGAAGTTACATAGATTTGAGATGCCTGAAAAACTTCATGTCCAGGTCTCCCTGGGAGCCTGAAACTTGGTGTTCTTCCAAGCAAGGTGTCCAGGAACAAAAGGAAAACAGAGTATGAGTGCAGAGCACGTCGAGAAGGAACAGGGACGGAAAGGTTGGGCCAGGCCCAAACCCATGAGTGACTGTTTATGTACCCAAAGGCCGGTAAATACAGTACAGCACTTGGCATGCCACTTGTGCACGCTCCCTTTGGACTACGAATCTTGGCATTATTTTCTATACAGTGAAATGGTCTCCACCTAAGCAAAGGACTAGGGTGCTCTCCGCTAAGCTAGAACTTAGAGGCAGCAATTACTGAAGAACAGATTCAGCTCTCCAGCGTCCTGGTGAGTTCCTTAGCTGCTGAACTACTGTGTAAATTACAGGACACCCATTCAGCAGCAGATCTTTACAAGAAAGATGTTTTAAGAGGAAGAGCGACCTATGCTCTGTTCTTGAAAGGGAAGGTTTTACGCACCTGCTTTCAGGAGCAGGCACTGGACTGTGACCGTGGAGCATAGGGAGCTTTGACAGCAAACAGCTGAGCTGTGGGTCCATGCTGAAGGGTAACCGCCCAGACATTGGGGATTAAAACATTTAACTCTCAGGCACCTAACCTCTAATTGCCTTGCTTCTTATTTCATTAAGGGGACATCACTTCGGGACTAATCCTGAAACCTTACTCAGAAGCAAAAGACCTGCAGTCCTCAATGACCACAGCCTATCCTTACCACAAGAAAAAAAAGTATTTCTGCTCAAAGAGAGTCATTGGAAGGACAGGGTATTTTACAGTCATCTCGACACTGCTAGGAAACATACGGTCCTCCGTACAGTATGTTACTGGACCTCTGCACCAGTAAACGAGCTCTGCTGGCACCGTAATTTTGCCTTGTCTTCAAACACAATGGGATTCCGATCAATTCTAAAACACTTGAAAAGGAAATGTTTGAAAAACAAAGCAGATGTATTAAATAATAGGATCTCTGGGGTAATGATAGATTGGCCTGTTCATTTTCAAAATTCTTTTTCTGAACATTAAGCCCTCTCCCCTTCAATAAAAGGCAATTGGATTCCTTTAATTTACCTTCTGGCCACCTTAAAATCAATTCAGCTCTCTTAACACCCTTCATTACATCTTTAAAACATTAAGTTTGCATATCACAACTAATGTGATCTCAAGATTACAATTTAAATACTTAGTCAGAACTGCCCTATGAGAAAATATACCTTATACTACACAAGACTTGCTTTAACTGGGAAAGCATTAACACTTGGAATTAGAGTGACACGGTATTTAGTTGTAGCCTACACGCTTTCTTTCAAAAATATTTCCAGTCATTATGCCTTCAAATGCGGAGGAAGTGAAGTGAAAGTGTCAACAATGAGACTGCCAAGGGGATGGCCAAAAGAAATGGCTACGACAATTTAAATGGCT